GACTGGGAAGAGCCTGATGCGGATGTGGCTTATGAGCCAGCAGCCTACGTGAATAGGCATGTGAGAAGAGAACCAGCAGCAATAGCAATGACAACACAGGTCACTACAAAGGTGCCCCCATCTTATGATGGAAAGACTTCATGGTTTTCCTATGAGGATGCCATAGACGATTGGTGTGATATCACCGAGCTGGAAGATGAGAAAAGAGGACCAGCATTGAGAAACAGATTAGAAGGAGAAGCAGCTGTATACAAGCGTGTTTTAGACAGAGATGCATTGAAGGCAAATGATCCACCAGGAGCCGGCGTAGAATATTTCAAACGAGTACTACGACCATATTTCGTGAAAGGATCAACCAATGTATTCCTGTATAGGTTCATGCAATTCGTGCGCTTCAATCGAGGATCAGCTGACATGATGAAATGGATGACAAGATTCCAGATTTTACTCCAAAGGCTTATGAGCAGTTGGATGGACATGTTAGAACCAGTCACTCAAGCACATCCACAAGTCCTAGCACAGATGCAGGCAGATGCAGCGTTGACTGGAGTAGCACCAACGGCAGAAAGGATTCAGGAAATCATGCAGACCATCAATGGCAATATGAGGACTTTTCATCAGAACGAATTTCCTCTAGGAGAAAATCTCATTGCCTTACTCATGCTGTCACTTGCAGATTTGTCTCAGGACCAGCGAAACACTTTGACTTCTTTGATGACTCATCGTGGCAGGGTCCTGCAGCAATACACTACAACAGAGTTGAGGACAGTGTTCATCGAGATGTTCTGCACGACAAAGACTTCAGTAGACAATCCTTTGATGCAGCCGACAGGTGCTGGAGGTAGAAGATCATTTCTCGTACTAGACGAAGGAGAACTCGATGGTACATTTGGCTATTGGGCCGAAGATGAAGAAGATGGAACAGAAGGATTTTTAGATGCCCTGGACGATGTCTTTTGGGTATATGATGATCAAAACTTCTCGTGGTTCCAAAGGAGATTCCAAGGAAGAAGAGCCAGAAAAGGCAAAGGAAAAGGAAGAAGCAAAGGAAAAGGTAAAGGAAGATCAGGCCGCAGATTCTTCAGACCTCGTGGAAAAGGAAAAGGAAAGAGACGAGGTAAAGGCCATTTTGCTGATGAGCAACAGACAACTTTTCCAGATGAATACTTTGAAGAGAATCCTTATGAGGACACTTGGGAGTCAAACCAAGTAGCATATGATGCCATTCTTGCCGAAGATATGAATGACTATCTTCAAGGAGAATATGATGATGCCAATGACTTTTGGCAACAGCTTGAAGAAGCATGGTTTTCCCACAAAGGAAAAGGAAAAGGCAAGAGAAAAGGCAAGAAAGGAAAAGGAAAAGATAAAGGAGATGGCAAACAAGATGCAAACTATGCAAATCAACAACAGTCACGTTCTTTACCTGCACCTTCAAGAACTTCACAAGCATCAGGAGGTCAACAAGGTTTCTTTGCACATTGTGTGACAGCAGCAGCTGAAGTCCATGACAGTGAGGTGGACTTGCTGTCAGGCATGATGACCTCATGTCAAGATGAAGCTGACTGCGCGGTCAACAATGGTGAGACGATCTTCAATGGCATGAGTGCCCCTGTGAGGTACTCTTTGTCAAAGGAGATGCTCACAAAGGCTCCTGATGGCTTTGCGCTTATGAGCGCTGAGGAAGAAGTGAAGGAGATGCAGGCCATTTCATTTTTGACTGAGAATCGCTTCCCGCCGACTATTGCAATCCTGGACATTGGATGCACTAGAGCTATGGGATCAAGGCGAGCAGTCGACCATTTTTGCAACTATGTCGACAATCACCCAGATTGTGGATTATGGTACTCTTTTGAGTCTACCAAGAGCAAGTTTTACTTTGCCAATTCCCAGAAGGCTACTTGCTCTCAGAAACTGGTGATTTACATGTATGATCGCGCATGGACGATCCACCATACAGAGTTCGACATAGTGGAAGAAGGAGAAGTCCCTTTGCTTATGAGCTTGCCACAGATGAGGAACTTAGGCTTTGAACTCAGGCTGACACCTCAACATGCTTATCTAACATCGGTGCCTCTTGGTATCAAATATTTGGAGTTGAAGGTTGCAGCCAGTACTCATCTTGTTTTGGACTTCCAAGATATTGCATGGTATCTGTCTGACGTGAATTTGCAGACTCGGCGCGAGAAGAGTTTTTACTCTCATTTCACTCACTATGAATATGGTCATATTTCTGTTGACCTCAATAGTGATGAAGATGTAGCTGAACATGCATATCCTGTGGTTGACTACTGGGAAGTAGATGTTGACAAGAGAGAACTGATACGTCACCACAAGGATTATAGAAAGATTCTTTTCCCAGCAACTAAGTCCTGTCCTGTAGACACTGACTTACTGGAAGACTTGCGACTAACAATCATCAAGAAGAAGAAAGGTGGAGAAGAGATCAAGAAGCAAGATGATTGGCGCAAGGCAAAATGGAAGGACCTACAAATTGGCTATGAATGGCGTGGTAGAACAATTTTTAAGTTCAAGCCAGATGCCAAAATTCCAGATCTAAAGATCAGGAAGGCTGGCATTGAGCACCGTGGCATTGGTGATCCCGATGCAGTGGTGCGCTCCTCCTCAGAGAAGGTTCCCATTGCAAAGGACAGGGAACCAGGCTTCTCATCAGAGAAGGAAGGTGCACCATCCAGTGCCGCGGAAAAGCCCGCGCCGCCAAAGTTTCGGTATACTTCCAAGGGTTTTGATCCATTTTGGAAAGGACACAAGTCGAAACCATCTGAGCCTCAGAATGATTTAAAGGGTGATGATCTTGAGGAGTATGCTCCCTCA